AGTGAAGATGAAAGCATCAACACAAATCATCATATTGCTCCTCATGAAGGACACCTGATGCTCACTGCCACCAGGATGAAACCACTGACCTACATAACTCAGAGCAGCAGTCCGATGGTAAGCATAATTACTTTTACTCCATATTGCTCTTTTTTTTTTTTCCCTGTAACAATTAGATGTGGGCTAATAATCATTAGGCTCTTAAGATTTCAATTATTCTAATAAATTCTTGGCCTCTGTTTTAAGGTATGCTTCCATTTTTTAGACATAAACAAGATTTTGTGCATAGCACCCAACAGAGGCCCATGCTCAGTAATTTACAGGCATACAGAAACGCATGCGGAGATACACAAAGAGAACAAGGTATCCGGTAGGCACCGAGACTCTCAAAGCATCCCCTGCACACCAGCTGCTGTCACTGGAAGGGTCCCGCGCAGCAGCACTTCAGTACCCAAAGGCTTCTGCACGATTCTGGCATTTACCACACCAGGTACAGAGATGAGCACTGGGCCTTCTTTCCTTTAGAGCACAAAGATCCAAACTTTCCCTCTTCTTTCTCAAATCACACTTGACTCATCTCCTCGCCAGAGCTGCTCCCAAGATATACCTGTGAAACACAGCCCATGAAACAAACCAGTAACAACAGACGCTACAAAGCAACATATGTGGCATAGCAAAAGGTGCAAGGAAAAATAGTCAGACGAGCAAAATACCTCGCGAGCAAAATACTCATTACCCAGACAGGACCAGAGAAACTGACACAGTTTACACCCTAAACTGGTGAAGGGCAACAAGTCACTAAGGGCAACTTAAGTCACTAACCTCAACATCTTAATGCAATGCACATTTAGGTAGTAAAAAATGCTTAGAGAAGGAGTAATATTTTGTGAAATAGCCTTCCTATGGAGTACTTTCATAAAAGAAACACTTAATGACTCAAAAAGGATATACAAAATTGAGCGGTCTAGGTAAGGAAAAAAAGTTGTACTGTTTCTGGTTCATACGTATTTTAAGACATCGGTTTTCATTTAACTCCTTGTCAGTATTAACAACTAAAAACACTCTCCAAACTGGTTGCATCTTTGTATTTATTATTTTATAGTGACAATCAACAATATGTCCTCTCCCACCAGCGTACATATACACAACATTATTCAGTCAGTGTTCCATATGGTTAATATAACCTCCATTCTAAGAATCCCTTACAAAAAAAAAAAGTTCGTTGACAGTAGAGACTCCAAGATGATACGCACACAACCACAGAAGGGATCCTCTTATCCTGCAATCACTAAAATATTTAACATCTGCACGTATTAAACGTGCACAAATCACAGAGTTATAGCAGGATCTATAGCACTGTCCCCTATTTAAAAAAAAAAAAAAAGAAAAAAAAAAGAAAGAAAACCAAACACAGTTCAGGCGCTGCAGTTGAACCAGTAACTTATTTCCAGATGACCCATCGAGATCTGCGCTCACAACCAGGGGCACTCCGCCGCTGCCTGCTCCCGGACAAACCCCCCCAGAGCCGGGGGAAGCTCAGGGAAGCGCCTTTCAGTGGGTGCGCAAAG